CCTGACTGGACTGGAGACACTGCTAGAGACACTGCTGTCCCTCTCCTCTCACACTCCCCTGAATTCACACACTGACACACTCCTGACTGGACTGGAGACACTGCTGTCCCTCTCCTCTCACACTCCCCCACACTGACACACTCCTGACTGGACTGGAGACACTGCTAGAGACACTGCTGTCCCTCTCCTCTCACACTGCCCCTGAATTCACACACTGAGGGGAGTCGGCCGGCGCTGGGATGAGGAAGCGTCTCTGGGCGGCGTGCTGGTCCAGCAGCAGGGCTCCATGGCAAACGATCCCGGTGCCCTGGCAGATCGTGGGGCCCGGGTTCGAGTGCTGGCCCAGTCTGGTGGCGTGAGGGAGTGTTACTGCAGACAGTTTCTGAGCTCCATCTGCCTGGGAGCGTCTCTGACAGCTCTGACAGCTGATTGACAGCTTGAGTGGCACAGCTGGGCGGGCAGGGGAGTCTGGGAAAGATAGACAGTCACAGTCTGGCACACACACAGTCACACACACACACTCACACACAGTCACACACAAACACACAGACACATACACAGACACACACAGTCACACACTGCACCTACAGGCCTGAAACACACACACTCTGCACGCAGATGGAGGTTATGTCCCTCTCCTCCCTGTGCCAGAGCACTCAGTGATCTTGGCTCAGTGCTGCTCCTATGCTTGACAGCTCATTCATTAGCGTTTCCCTCTCTCTGCTCCTGTCACGTGTCTGCTGAGTGCTGAGAAACTGTCCCCCTGCCTCACTGCTCCTCTCTGCTGCCTCCTCTCCCCACAAGGTCCTGCACTCCAAGGCCTCCTACTGTCGCCACCTGCTGGACGACAACAGTTCCTCTGCACTCATCATCCTGGGCTTCGTGGTGATGTCGCCACTCATTGTGGTCGCCATGGCGATCTACTGCGGCCTGGCTCGCCGGCTCCGCCTCTTCCTGCTCTTCCAGCCCTGCTCACGTGCACAGTACCACGGGGGGGGGTGGCGCGGGTGCGAGGGGCAGGGGGGCAACTGCTGCTGCTGGGGTGGGGAGAGGTTGAGCTCTGTCAAGGCCTGGGTCTGACCCTCACCGTGAGTCTCACCCTGTCTCACTCTCATTGTCTCCACACACTCTCACTGTCTCGCCATGTCTCACTTTACTGTGAGTCTCACCCTATCAGTCTCAGTCTCTACACCCTGTCTCACTCTCACTGTGTCTTACACTGTCTCACTCTCACTGTCTCTACACCCTGTCTCACTCTCACTGTGAGTCTTACACTGTCTCACTCTCACTGTCTCTACAC